TGCTGCGAGCAGCAGGAACTGCAAAGATCCATAACTGGTCAATGTGATGAGAACAAACAGCTGGTGAAAGCTCCGCGTAAATGGGACATCTACATTGCAAGCGCTAGGCCTCAGGGAACATCACTTGAGGAAGAGGGAAAAGGAGGGGCTAGTATGGGACTGCTAATTTCTTGGTATGATGTGAATATCGAATATCGCACTCTTGAATTTACAACAACTGTAATTACCTGCACAAGAAGGAGCCTCTCAACATCCTGTCATGGAGGCAATGGATGGGATAAGGCCCCACCCCTTCCTGAGGATTTATGGTCAGTTAATGATTGCTTGGGGCGGGGAGAGACATCTTCAGTGGTGTAGCTGTTGATAAAATACTCACGCTCCTATAAGCAAACCTAATGGCAATCACTGGGTAATCTAAAGCAAAACTGGAAGGGCAGGAGAGCAGGTGGAGGGCTGGGAGGAGGGCTAGTGGGGACCAGGGAAGGTAATGGGGGAGATTTGAATTTGATAGAGATATATTAAACCTATGACCATGTGATAATAAGACCTGCTGTTATGTATATGTATACTCAATATATGCTAATAAAACATTTTGAAAAAAGAAGTGGGGATTAAAAGCATGCCAGCGGGTAGAGAATCACTTCACTGCACATCACAATAGGAGTCAGGCCCACATGGCCAACACTATCTCTGCACTGTCTCTCAGAAGCTCTCCTTATCAGTACCAGGGAGGGAAGGCACAGCTCAAATATCCCCAAACTAAATTAATTTTTTTTTTTTTTTTTTGGAGACAGGGTTTCTCTGTGTAGTTTTGGAGCCTGTCCTGGATCTCACTCTGTAGCCCAGGCTGGCCTCAAACTCACAGAGATCTGCCTGCCTCTGCCTCCCGAGTGCTGGGATTGAAGGTGTGCCCACCGCCACCCAGCTCCAAACTGAGTTTACTGTAACGCCCTTAGTCTGTTACATTCTCCTGTGTTTTCTGCAACCAACAGTTTACACACAATTCCAAGAGAAAAATAAAAAATTTCAACTACAGGGAAAAATGGCTTTAAAAATTTTTTTTTCAACACATTTATTTATTTTATATGGGAGGGGGAGTTCACATGTCATGGTGCTTATGTGGAGGTCAAAGGATGACCCAAGGGATTCAGCTTCCTCTGTTCACCATGTGGGTCCTAGGGATTGAACCAAGCACCTCCAAGCCATCTCACTGGCCAGGGAATAATGATTTGAGATAGTGGAGAAAATGTTCTTTCCCATACTATATCGAAACTTAATAAACTGTCTTATGTATTTATTTAAAAAAATTCATAAACAATTTCTCTAGAACAGTAATCTTCACCTCAAAAGTAATTTTTCATTTAAAAAGTTACATTTACTCTTCTTATTTTGTATTTTATTCTGTGTGTATATATTTGTACCATGTGCATGCAGTACTTGCAGGAGTCAAAAGAGGAAGATACCCTGGAATTGGTATTAACAGACAATGTGAGCCACCATGCAGGAGCTGGGAACCAAACTAGGGTCCTCTGCAAGAGCACCAAGTGCTCATAATTGCTCAGGCATCTCTCCAGCCCCGAGAAGGCATTTGGCAAGGACAGTGCTATCACCTGGAAGAGTTTCTATCAGACAGAAGCCACAATGCACAGGGAGCATCAGAGCTGCTGACAACATGCCTGATGCCTATGTTCAATACTCAGCATCACCACCCCTACAACCCACAAAAAAAAAAAAAAAAGGTGGTAAGTAGAAAGCAGAATGTGGGTAAGATCAAACACAGGATCAGAGGAGAATAAGAAAAAGGTCTGGCCATGTAAGGCATTGGGAAACATTGCCTTTCCTTTTACTGTTTCCTTTATAATACTAATATGTATGTTTTAAAATTTTAATCTATGCTCAAGATTTGAGAGCTATCAGTTGTTTTCTTTAACCATTTCTTCTGCACAATGAAGGTCACAAGAAAGCAGTCAATCCAAGGTGTATGCATACACTGCCCCTGATAATAGCACAGAATAACACCAGAACAAGCTTTGGGCTAACTGCCTATGTTTAGAATCGTTAAGTCAATAGCTACGTATCTTGGGATTCTTTACTTTCTAATGGGGAAATAAACTGGCTTTCAAATGTTTCTAATGTATTTATTTGCAACTCAAGTTTTCTGCTGTGGACATCTAAAAGTCAGAAAAAGAAGATGCTCATTTAGTGAGTCAGAATCTACACATGGTTTAGTGAATTCTTAGAAGCTGCTTCTTAAATGAACACTTGATTAATAACTTTATGAAGGACAACTTTCCATATAGAAATGAACAACAAAAGCATGGAATAAAGCAACTCACCGGGAGTTATTGTAATGAATATTACATGCTCGGGCCATTAGCACCACAATAATTGGTCTAAAGGCTTTTCCTTTGCCATCGAAGTAGTATTCAGACATGTCCTTCAATTCTTTGGTGGAGATGCACAGCTCCTGAAATATAGTTTGTTCATGTTAGCATGGCATTACAGTCACACAGACAGGATTTTTGTTTTCTTCAAAACTTCAGTTTTATTTTAGTGTACCCATTTCAATTGAGAAAATCAACACAAAAATAATGTGTGGCTTTGCCCCAAGTGGTGTGGCGTCAGTATTACGGCAGGGATTGCCACCCGCCCCATGACAGCTAGTGACAGCAGGACAAGGAAAGGAACAGAGGGCTAGGAAGCAACTTAGAAGGCAGAGGACAGTGTGAAGTGTGGGAGCCTAGGAAGCAGAGCAGGAGTATCCTGGATAGGAAGTCAGCAGACAAGAAGACAACTAGGGCAGAGCACAGATCAGTAAGTCTGTCTGCGCCTAATTTAGCAGAAGATACTTCAAAGGTTCATAGAAGAAATGTAGAGAAAGCATCGGTTGCTTGACTGTGGGGAATTTTCTATTGAGGTGGGAGACAATTTATTATCATTATCTGAGTTATGTCCTTGCTGTGAAGCCCTCGATGGCCTGGAATCCAAGACCTTCCTGCTTCTGCCTACCAAGTGCTGGACACTAAGACTGTACCACCACACCTAATGGAGACAACAGTTTAAAAATATAGCACATTCCCACACGCAGTCCTGGGGCAGACCGCCCTGGGCTCCAGGGAAGAAGCATGTTCCTGCCCAGTGCCACGACGGACTGAGTGGGGCAAAGAGACCCACAAGCAGGCCCACCCCTGGCTTTGAGGAGAAACACAGGCAGATGGGATTTGTTATGGTGGGCAAATGTACATGTGTTATGGAAGAGGAAGGGAGGGAGGGAGAGAAAGGGAGGGAAGGAGGGAGGGAGGGACAGAGAGAGAGGTGGGGGGGGAGAGAATGGTTCATGTCCTGTGGACAGAGGCATATCTGGGCTGAGGTGGGTGGCTTGATTACCACTAGTGACATGGTGATATCTGGGCCTGGGCTGCTGCCAGGGCCCATGCCTTGGTTCATGGCCCTGGTCTGTGCTGATGTCCTAGGTGTTTGATACCACCAATGGCAGAGAAGACAGGGCTGTACAGAGTTGACCCCACCCCTCACTGGATGCAGCACTAGGGACAACTGGTCCTGACCCCCCCCCCCCACCAGCTGAAGCACTCAGGAGGGAGGGCCCTACATCTCACCTGAGCTAACCCTGTTCACAGGGGGATAGGCGCGCTGGCACTGTGGGTGTGAGAATGGGAAAGCAGGTCGTACCCCTCTTGTCTGCCATGTGGGTGAGGGGAAAGATGCCCTCCTCTCCTCGCCCCTTGACACCTGCAGCAGGTGGGGGACCTGACCCAAGCCCTCACCAGCACAGGCCCCGTGCCTCACCTGGCCAGCACAGCAGTGGACCATGTAGACAGGGACATGGGTGAGCCAGCCCTGAGGGCATGAGGGGTACACCTGGTACTGCCTCCCTCGTCTGCAGTGGTGGTGGGGTGGAGGAAAGATGCCCTCCCCTCTTGCTCTACCAGCTGCAACACTCGGGAAAACAGGTTTTGTTGACAAGGGTACAGGTGAGCTGGCCCTGCGAACACGCGCGTAGGAGACCTGGCCCAGTCCTTCATCTGCCATATGGTGGCATGGGCAGGGAAGAGATGCCCTCCCCGCACCGATGCCTGAGGCAGGTGGGTGAACTGGTCCTGCTTCCAACCAGCAGCAACCCTGGGGAGAGCAGCCCTGCACCTCGCCAGGGAAAGCACAATAGAGCCAACCCTGTCGGTGAAGGTATGGGTGAGCCAGCCCTGAAGCTGTAAGCATGAGAGAGCTGTCCCCACTACTCATCGTCATGTGGCGCAGGGGCAGGGGAGAGGACCACCCCCTTCTCCCCCGTCTCAGGTGGGAGAGCTGTCCCTTCCCTTCATCAGCTATGGCACTTGGATGAGTGGCCCCCATACCTCAACTGGGCCACACAGTAGAGCTGGCCCAGAAGTGTAGGTGTGGGAGAAACGACTGTGAAGACAAGAAAGCAAGAGAAATGACCCCACCTGCAAGGGGTAAACTCGCCAGGGCAAAGCTGGAGAGCTTACCATGGTAGTGAGGACAGGGGAGAGCTGGTGGGTTGACCAACCCTGCAATTACCCAGGCCCAGAACCAGGGTTAAGTGTTGGCCCACTCCAATATCCACCCCATCTGTGATCTGCTGGAGCACAGGTCTGGGTGGGGCTAAGTCTTGTGGACCCAGGACTGCAGATCTCCACGACACAAGGCAGCAATGGGATGTCCAGGAAGAGTCCCAGTGAGGGCACAGTGTCGATAGTGTAGCAGAGATCAGGGCCTCGATCCACACCAATGATTCTTTGCAATGAATGCCTGCATATAAAGATGTATGGATAAAGGAGCCTACTGCATAACTCACTGTGTCACACTGTAGCTTCCATGACAAGATTTTCCCTTTCTTCCTTTCTTTTTTTCTTCTCTTTTTTTTCCTTTTTCATCTTAATTTTTTTTCTTTTTTAATTTTGGGGGGGGGAGTTGCAGTGGCAGAGGGCGGATGATACAAGGGGATAGAGGATGGGTGGGATGGGGTGCATGTTGTGAAAGACACAAAGAATAAATAAAAAAGAAAGTTAAAAAATGTTTGGATAGCAGCTTTTGCCAACGGGACATGTTTATGATATTTTACCATCATATTTTACCCTATTATGAGATGGTATGTATGCTTCGAGCTCCTTCTGGACTTAAAATGAGGAGGAGAAGGGATAATTGATCCTTCCCAGCAATGCAACAAAATGTGCTTTATATGCCTTTATTTTGAAATCTTTAAATATATGATTATGAAATAAAAGAAATATATAGAATATTTTTAAAGCCCCAAAGAAATTAGGAATGGAAGGAACATACATCAATATAATGTTTACAAAACAGAAATAGTCACTAACATTACTCAAATAGGGAAAAACTCAAAAACGATCCTTCTAAAGGCAGAAGAGACAAGGGTATTCACTTTCCCCATCCTTATTCAACACAGTGTTTGAAGTCTTAGCTAGATAAGTAAGATGAGAAAAATAAAAGGGACACAAATTGAAAAGGAAAAAGCCAAATTATCCCTATAGTTCACATGATCCTATATACAAGACCCTTAAGACAACTCAGAAATGATAAAACACTTTCAACACAGTAATAAACCTGACCAAGGGAGGGAAAGACCTCTACAGTGAAAGTTTCATAGCAATAAAATAGACACTAGAAGATGGAAGAATCATTTATGGATAGTGAAAATGGCTATATATGAAAAGCTATCTATAGATTCAAAGCAATTGTGCTCAAAATTCTAATGACATCCATTTTTATAATTATATTGGTTTATGTATTTAATGAGTACTGAGCATGCACATGCATGCCATAATAAATGTGTGCTAAAGGACAGCCTGTAGGAGTTGGTTTTTTCCTTCCACCAAGTAGTTCCTGGGAGAATCCAACAAGTCAGGTTGCCAAGCTTGGCTGCAAGTGCCCTAACCCACTGGTCCTCTAATGACATTTTTAATGGAAGTAGAAAAACAACCTTAAAATTCGTACATAAGCACAAAAGATCTCAGAGAGTCAAAGCAATCCTGAGTTAAGAACAATGATCTCAAATTACACAACAGAGCCATATTAACAAATTACAGCACTTAGCACAAAAATAGACACTTAGATAAGTGGAATAGAATAAAGAATCCAGAATCAAACCCACAATGTTACAGATACCTAATTTTTAACAAAAACGCCAAAAACACATATTGGAAAATAAAAACACCTTCAACAAATAGTGCTGGGACAATGGACATACATGTGTAGAAGGATAAAACTAGATCCCTGATTTTTACACCCCACAAAAGTCAACCATCTTAATGTAAAACCTGAAACTGCAAAACTGAAAATATACAGAAAATACTTCAAGATACAGATATAATCAAAGACTCTCATTAGGACTTGTTACTTGGAAAATGATATCAAGAACTGAAATACGGGATTGCATCAAATTAAAAAGCTGCACACCATAGGAAACAAATGAGTGAAAAGACAGCCTACAGAATGGAAGGAAAGTTCACTAGCTATAGATCTGACAGAGGATTAATATGCAGCACATAAAAAGAACTCAAAATATCAAACACCCAGACAACGCAAATGAATACACAGACTACAAAGGGCCAAAAATATATGAAAAAGAATTCAACATCCTTAGCTCTCAGGGAAATGCAAACTAAAACTGCTTTGAGGATCCACTCCACCCTAGTCAGAATAGCTAACAAATAACAAATGCTTGTGAGGATGTGTGTTTGTATGCATAATCCACACACTGTTGGTAGGAATGTAAAGTGGTCTAACTACTATAGAAAATAGTATGAAAGTACCCCCCAAAACAAACAAACAAACAAACAAACAAACAAACAAACTACAAGTCAAACTTCCATGTGATCCAGTCATAGGGCTCCTGGGTATATACCTGAAGAACTCTAAGTCAACATACACAGAGATACTTTATGTCCATGTTACTGCAACACCATTCACAACAGTCAAGTTATGGAACCAGGCTTTGTGTCCATCAAGAGAAGAACGAACCAAGGGAAGGTGATTATATATATATATAAATATACACACACTATGGAGTTCTATTCAGCCTTAAAGAATGAAATTATGTTATTTGGTAGAACATAGATACAACTGTGATCACCTTATGAAATGAAATAAGCCAGATTCAGAAAGACAAAGATCATATTTTCTCTCATGTGAATCCTAATTTTTAAAAAATAAACATATGAAACTATTTAGAACAGTAGGAAGAAGGAAGAGAAAGGAGAAAGGAATAAAATGAATATGGCCCAAATTAATGATGTATTTGGAAAAAAGAATATATAAAATTTTGGGGGAGACAGAGAGTAGAGCTGAGTGGAAGGGGGAAGACAAGTAAAGATATGAGCAATGCAGATTATACACATGTATGAAAATATAATAATGCCAATTTTTTTTACAAACTATATTCAATAAAACATAGGGATGAAATAAGTTGTATATGATGATGCATGCTTAAACTCTATAATTCTAACCCTTGGGAGGCTGAAGAAGGATGGCTATGAGTTCAAGGACAAGCAAGACCCTGCCTCAAAACAAAAACAAAAACAAAATAAATAAATATTGATTCAGTGGGTAACACATTGGTAATTTATCAAAAGTCCAGAAAAAGGAAGAGATTAGTGTAGGGCAGAAAATGTGAATATTGCATGGAGATGAGCGTCAAGAAACATTGGCTGAGTTTGATTTGTGAAAAACAGAGAGGGCTCTCCATGGTTGTGTACTTGTTGTATCTGCCACTCAAGGAACATACAGCTTTAATCAGAGCCACACCAAACTAAGGAGCATAATTACTAATTTGCTAGTGCAGAGATAAAGCCACAGTCACAAAGATAAGCACAACAACCCTTGCCCACAGGGAGCCCAGAGTCTAGATAGGGATGAGCAGATCACTAACTACAGTTAATACGCTACAGTATAATGGGTAGCATCACCTGAGGTAAAGAAAGCTACTCTGGGAGTGCAAGGAAAGGCTGGCTCAGGCTAAGGGGAGATTAAAAGTGAGAGAGAAGGGAGGAGATAAGAGTGGCCTGGAGCCTGACGAGATCTGAAGGCAAGACATAGACTAGAAGGTCATGGAAGGAAAGGATAAGAAGGCTCCAAGGATTCTTCTCATCCCTCCCATAATCGGGATATCAGAAGCAAAAAAACTTAATTACATATGGGATGAGAAGAGCATTCCAGACATATTAAGTTAGATATAGTCATGGATACTTCATGGAGTAATCTGCTAAGTAGTTAGCTATATACGTTTAGAAGAGACAATTCAATCTGGAGTAGAGATATTGGGGGTATTAAAAATGGAAATGAATATATAGAGAATATGAGGGCATGCGTGTGTACACGTGTGTGCGCGCGCACGCGCATGTGTGTCAGAATTCCAAACAACAGCACAGTTAAAGGGGTCAAGGTAGAAGAGATAAAAGAGGAACACACAAATAAACTGAGGATGGCCTAAAGACTGAGTGACTCAGGAAAACATGGAAGCTAAAGGAACAGTTTCTTTCCAGGAAGGAAAATGGTACCTAGTGTTCAGTGTTGAAGTACGTAAAGGCAGAAGAAGGCAGAAAGCATCCACTGCACTCAGTAAGAAAAAGCTCCCATGACCTGGAAAGGAAGACACGGGCAGTGGTGCGGCAATGGGAAGGGGCAAGAGTGAACCAGAGGGTTCAGAATACCGTGATGGAAAGGAAGGGGGCAGACACAAGGTTAGGGCAGTCCTGAAAAGGAGAGTGGGCGGGTGTGGCATTACATGTCAATAATCCCAGCATTTGGGGGCAGAAGGATGATGAGTATAAGGCCACCCTGATACACAGGAAGTTAAAGGTCTGCCTAGTGGTGTCAGTGACAGCTTACCTTAATTCAATAAGTAAGCAAACAAAAGATGAAAGCTCTAATCCGAGCATTCCAAACGCAGAGGCAAGAGGGTCACGATTTCAAGGCCAGTTTGGACTACACAGTGAGCCTCTATCTCAAAATGAAAAACTACTCTAGGCCTTGGGATACGGCTCAGTGGTAGAACATTTGCCTAGCATGTGCAAAGTTCTCCAGGACACTGCTATACTGTTGTAAGGCATTAGGCCAGAATCTTTGAGAAAAGATGATGAATGGTGTATGAATATTTTAAAGCAGGATTTTACTCATTTATTTTTTTTTAAATTTGTGTATGCATACCCGACAACAACTTTGGGTGTCATTCGCCTTTCCATTTTTGAGACAGAGTCTCTTACTAGCCTGGAGCACACCATGCAGGGTAGGCTGGCTGGCCAGCGAGTCCCAAGGATATAGCTATCTCCATTCCATCACTACTATGACAAATATGGGCCGCTACGCCCAGCTTTTTATGTGGTGTGGGGGCTCAAACCTAGGTCCTTATGCTTGCAGCCACCTCTGCAGCCCCACTTGAACATTCTCTTTCACTGCGTAATTCACACCAGTGTTAGCAGCCTATGGACAGAGGCTAGGCAATGGACTAAGGTCATGGTTTGCTTTGGCATCTGACATTATGAGAGGCCTAGGATAGGCTTGCCATAATCCAATTCACACACTTGAAAAGGGTTAGAAAATCCACATGATATTTCACATGATGAGTTGAATGAAGAAAGTCATATTTGGAGTAGCTTAGCAATGGCATTCAGAATTAGATACTGCGGATAGTCACTGAAGTCACTTTATACACACACATAAAGAAGGAAGGTTAGTGGCTCACTGAACAAACATGTGCTTCCTGTACCTATTTTCTTAAGTTCTCCAACTCTGCAATAATATCTTTCTACACAGTAACATGGACTGCATTTTCCATACTCCCCAGCACCAGGCTGCACATAGTTGTTGCTGAGGTAACATTTGAAACCTGACAGATGCAAACTGAGTGGGCAATGGCATAATTTTTTTTTTCATTTGCTTGTTATTTGATATAGGGTCTCATATAGAAGAAGCCTAGCCTAGCTTGGAACTCACCATGTTACCCTGAATAAAACTGAACTTGCAGTGGTCCTCCTGCCTCAGCTTCCCAAGTGCTGGGATTATAAGTGTGAGCCGCCATGAAATGGCTGTATGGTTTGCTTGTAATCTAAAATGTTACTAGGTTTCAGTAACATAAAACACTTACCTTTCTAATGTCTTCATACAGACCTTTCAAGTCTCTCCAGCCCAGTTTAAAAGGATCAGCATATTTCTCACCACTCTGTATTTGACTACAACAGCACACTGCTGGTGTCCTTTGATGAAACCTGAGGTGAGTGAAAATGCACATGACTCCATTTTTAAGTATTATATACACATGCATATTCATATGGTGGACTTGCTAGAAGAAATCAAACATGAATCTGAAAAGGTCATCATAATTTAGAAACACACAGAATTCTCATCTTGCTAAACAATACATTAATAGGTCATTTTAATGAACAGGACCTCGAGAGCCAAAAGAGAAAGACTACATTATGTTCATTGTATTCTGAGTAGAACTCAAATTTTACTATATTCATATTTTTTGAAATGGTAGAGATAATATAAAGCAAACTATCATCGCTTTTACTTAAACATATTAATCTGTTGGCTAAGAAAAATTAGAAGTTTCCTAGCAGTGATGCTCTTTGTAGCTCTAATATGAATTATAAACTTACTGTGATATACTATGCACATTTGGGAAGGCAGGTGTTAAAGTCTTCACTAGGCTAAAATAGGGCATCTGTAAAACAAAAGCATAAAAAATGATAAGAATACTCCTCTAAAACGGGTTCATAACAACTATTCCCATAACTCACAACAACTGTGATCGTTTAGTCAGCCATTTATAAGAGGTTGTAAGCCTTAAGAGAAAAAGGGCAGTTAGAAGTTCCCTTCCTGGATTACGAAGGTAATGCATGTCCTAGCAGAACATAGGAATCAGATGAAAGCAGGAGTCAGTCCTGGTGTTGCAGGCTTGTAATTCCAGCTACTCAGGAAGCTGAGGAAGGAGGATCTCAAGTTCAAGGTTGATCTGGACAACAGTGAGTTCAAGGTCATCCTGAGCAACTTTTAATGAGACCCTACAAAAAAAAAAAAAAGAGCTAGGGAATGCTCAGTAGAAGAATAGTTAGCTAGTTCTCAAGAGGCTGTAGGCACTGACAAAACAAAACAAAAAGCAGAAAATAAAAAAAAAAAAAACAACCCTCTGCAACAAAACATCCATTCTTCTAAAAGCTGGGTTCATATTTATTCCTAAACCAGAAGAGTAGCAGCAAAACAATTCCTTCCGTTTAACTAAGCCTGATCACAGAACAGGGAACACTGGGGTATCTTTTAAATTCTCAAAACACACAGACGCCAAAAGCTAATGGGGGATGGTTAGGAAAAGATTTTAACATTACGGAAGGAATTGACAATTACACAAAAGCTGCCCATGTTAAGTTATTGTTATTACACATATTTGGATATAGTGCTTCTGGGTAAGTAATGTTTAATAAACAAATGGACTGGGAGTACAGCCTAATGGTAGAATATGTGTTTTGCACAACACAGACAAACCACCACCAACCTCAGGGGCATTTTGATAATATAATCAAAGATCCAGCAATCACCCGGGCATGGAAGGGTACACCTGTAAACCAAGCACTTGGAGGCCGGGGGAGCATGTGTACCACAAGTTCAAGGTCAGCCTGGGATACTTAGAAAGACTCAGAGAGAATCTCAAAGAATTATAGTAGACCACCTCTAAACAATTCAGAGATGGTAACAAATACTGAGTCTAACAATATCACTATTCTTTAAAGATTTTTTTTTGAGATTTATTTTTATCTTATGTGAGTGTTTAGTCTGCATGTATGTATTACAGTTTACAAGGTTATATAGGGATATAATAAATTTGTGTCACAGGCATAGAACATCTGATGTTGGTATTTCCCAATAAATAAATGCCTGAGGACTTCCTCAATTTCCAGAGAATAGTTAGGGTAAATGATGTTCCCATACCTCAGACATTGTTTTTCTGAAGACAAAGGTTATGTTTTATATAACTCTGAACATGCTGGGCTGTGAAGCAGGCTTCTCTTCTGAACTGTAAACGCCTAACTGTTATCAAAGGAGCTACGATAATAAAAACGAACCTTGTCGTGCACATTACATTCAAGTGCTCAGCTGCCTTGAGTTCCTAGTTTCCCACTTTGGTTCTCCTGGAATTAATCAGGAGGCAACTTGGCCAACTTCTCCCAGTGAGTCTATTCACCACACATGTGCAGTGCTGAGGAGGCCAGAAGAGGGTGTTGGAAGTCCTCGGAACCCTTTAGAACTGGAGTTACAGGCCATGTGGATGCTGGGAATTGAACCCAGGCCCTTTGGAATAGTGGTCAGTGCTCTTAAGCACTGAGCCATCTCTCTAGCCCCATATATTACTATTCTTAATGACAGGATAACAGCATTTTTAAAACTATTAACTATTTACTAATCTAATCTGGTAAAGGCTTTTATACAAAGTGTGTGAAGAAAGCTTCTTGACAAAAAGAATGAATGTGAAAATAAAACATGTGTGCTTCTTAAAGTCTTACGTTTTAAAGCCATCTTCCCCCCCACAGAGCCTCACAACTACTGTTTTGTTTATTCCGAGACAGGGTCTCACTATGTATCCCAGGCTGGCCTTGAACTCACAGGTTTGCTGAGATTAAAGGCATATCCACACCTGGCCACAACAACCTTTTTAAAGTTACATTTATTCATTTATCTTGTGTGTAAATCTGTGTGTGCATATGCACATGCCATGGCAGATGTGTGGAGGTCAGAAGACAACTTGAGGGAGTAACTTCTCTCCTTCCACCAAGAGGATCAAACTCAGGTGGTCAGGCTTGGCAACTGGACACCTTTACCCAGAGTTACCTAATCAGCCCACTCATTTTTCAAGTTAGAAAACTTAGATTCCAGAAAAGTCAAGCCTGAAGAACTGACTTACAAGCATGACTACAGTTATAAGAAGTAACCTCAGAACTGTATGCACTGTCATCTCATCAAAAACCTCTGTGTAAGCACAGACACAGAAGAGGGTTTAGAAACATCTAAGTCAGTGTTTAAAGCAGTTATTCTGAACCAAACAAGGTTGTATGTATGTGTGTTGTGTGTGGGGGTCTTGCTTTAGTTACTTATATTGGGTATTTATTTTCTGATTTTGCTTGAATGAACATATATTGCTTTACCTATATTAAAAGAACAGAAAATGCTGACTTAGCCCAGCAGTAGCCAAGAAAACTGAGGTCTGTTGTTTCCACTACAGCATTCTAGCTATTCATTATATCTAAGTCGTGAAGAGTATTTATGACCTACAGGTAACTGTAATGTCCCCAAAACATAGCAATAGCTCTCTCTCGATTTCATCATTATAGAACAGCCCCCACCGCCCCCCCCTTCTGGGATAGAGGTTTTGATATGCTGCACAAGCTGGTTATGTGCTATATGCAGCACAAGCATCATTCTGCCTAGCGAGTGACATCTTGATGGCAGAGTTACAATGATTCAGTTTAAGACCTAAAGACATTCCTCTAAACTGGTATAAAATGTTAAAATTGCATGATTAATGCAGGGTATCCTTTGCCAATAGGTAGCTTAAAGACTGTTAGTTGTATAGTCTTTAGAGGACAGAGCTTGTGTAAATAACAAAAATTTCTGGCGGGGTTACTTTGTGACATCTTCCTATCCACAATTACTCACAGAAAGATGCTGAATCTTAGAGAGGAGAGTATTGTAAACTACTCAGCTGAGGATACAATATACAGCATACATTTATTTTTATTTACTTTGCAGTACTGGGGCTCAACCCAGAACTTTGTCAATGTAAGACAAGTGTTCTACTGTAAATAGATGTTTCCTGTCCGGACCACCTGGTCCCAAATAACCAACTCAGAGGCTGAATATGAATTATAAATACTCAGGCTTATTACAAACTAGCTCTTACATTTTAAGTTAACCCATATTCCTTATTTACCCTCTGCCACATGTCGGCACGGTACCTTTATTAGCATGGCACATTCATCTCCTGCTCCCTCTGCATCTGACTGGTGACTCCTGACTCCATCCTCCTTCTTCCCATCATTCTCAGTTTGGCCTTCCCACCTAACTTCCTGCCCAGCTACAAACTGTCAGCATTTTATTAACCAAGGAGAGTAATACATACTCATAGTCTAGAAAAGGATTGTTCCACAGTAATAATACATATTCACAGTGTAGAAAGGATTGTCCCTACTACTGAACTACAACTCTTAGCTCCACAGAAAAATTTAAGATAGTATTTATTCAATTACTCCCTCAGCTCCACAACAAAGATTTAAGACAGTATCTGTTCAATCAAATTGTAGTCTGTATTTTACTCAGAGCTACCTCAGGGCAGCATTTCCACAGGGAGAGAATCATAGTATTTATTAAAATGAGGCTGTGCAACCAGTTCTGTGGATCACTGATGATATCAATGAAAACAAATTTTCCTTTTCCAATTCTATTCCCTCTTTTCTATCACTCTCTTTGAAAGTCAACTCTGTCCCTTAAGATCTACTTCTTTTTTTTGTTTGTTTGTTAAAGTCTCATGTATCTCAGTTTGGCACTGAACTCACCAGGTAGTTAAGGATTACCTTGAACTCCTGATTCTTCCACCTATCTGCCAAGTGCTGTCATTACAGGCCTAGCTAAGAATTGACTTTTTAAAATAAGAGAACATGTTCAGTATGAATCAAAGACAAAGTTGGGTGTGGTCACTCAGGTCTGAAATCCCAGCACTGCACTAGGGTGGAGAGTTAAAGTTGGCTTAATTATTGTTGCTCTTTGTTAAGGTCTGTAGTCCTTGAGTGATCAGAAGTAACTAAAGCATTCATGCCTGAAGCAGACAGCTGAATTCTAAACTATTTGTAGTGGAAAATATTAACACATGAACATGTTGGCACCATCAGTTAGGCTCTCTCCTTTTGCTCAAGGAGACAGATATGGAAGCCAATGACAGATTCTTTCCAGAAAAGCACCCTTCCATGGATGAGGTTTCCTGATGAGCATCTCATTCTCACTCTCATTCATTCTCTCTCACTCTCATTCATTCTCTCTCTCTCTCTCTCTCTCTCTCTCTCTCTCTCTCTCACACACACACACACACACACACACACACACACAAACAGCTAAGATCCAGTGGCATCTTGTGGTGGGTGCCACTCTTCAAAACATGTCTGCATCTATGGCGATCAAAACCAAGACCCAAACTCTCCCTATATGCCCTCTTTCTCTTATATATCATCCTTTCTATTTAAACCGGTTTGCATTTTTCTCACCAAATTCTTTTTTGGGTAATTTGTTATATACATCCACTTTAGTACAAAGCAGACATTTATAAATGCTACACATTTCATATTGGTAGTGTTTGATAAACATATTGACAAATGAAGCATAACAGATCTTACTAAAATCACAAGCCCGAATTTAAGGGGTGGGTTCTTTGCAGATGAAAAGTGAACCCTCATCCAAATGCTGTGCGGCTGGAATGGCCTCCAAAACCCAAAGTGGAAAAACCCGTAACTTCAAAAGTCAGCCTGAGGATGTTGCCCGGTAATGCCAATGGCACGGGCTGACCCCATTCACACAGAACCAGAGAGCCATTTACAGTGCTAATCTATCTGACCGGGAGAAAAAAGTGAAACTGGGGCCAAATGCATTAGGGGAGGATTTCAAGGAATCACTCTTAGACTCAGGGAATGATTTTACGTCAACGAAGTCATAGGTCTCTCATGCCACCCTCCGGCTCGTCCGTCTCCTTCTAAGTGTCCTTCCAGCGCCTTTCAGGTGTGCTTTGCCTCCTAAGCACCTGCAGCACTGAAGTCAGGTCCACCCCCGTTAGCATCAGCCTTTCGTCGCCTCACACCCCTTCGGAATTCCGAGGCTAACCGGATCCGAAATTGCGAGCAGAGGTCCCCTTGCCTCTGGTTGCCTGGCGGGAGGAACTGCGTCGTCCCGACACACCCCGGTCTCTATGATTAACAGGGCTGCGCTCCGCCGTTCCCCCTACCTTTGCCCCCGTGTCCCCTGGGTGCCCGGGCAGCTGCTCCGCACTTCGGGCCCCGCGACTAGCCCCGCTCCCCCGGCATCCCCCCCAGGGGACACAGCGGCCCAGGCCCCGGTGCACGTGCGCGTCCTCCCATTCATTCGGTCGCCGGCTGTCATTGGCACGGTGACCTCTACGCCACGGGCAGCGCGCACGTCCCGGCCTCACCTGCGCGCGGGTGTCCGAGGCGGCGCGCGTCCCGAGCGGCCCCGCACAGCCAGGGCGTTCCGGCCGCGGGCTCCCGGCCGCCGGCCTCCAGGAGCAGCCCCGCCGCCAGCACCACCCGCACCACCAGCGCGTAGCCATAGTGCGAGTCTGAAAGTCGCGGCGGGCGGTGGCTCCGCCTCTGCCCCAGGCCCGGACCCGGAGCCGGAAGCTGGGTACCGGAAGCCTGCGGCCGCACCTTGCTCCCTTCTAGTCCCGCTGCGCGGTCGCCCGCTCGCCTGGACTCTTCTCGAAGCCGCTCGCCTTGGCTCGTAGCCGCGTCCGCCTTTAACCAGAAATGTGCGTCCGAATTGTTGTCCTACGCGCGACAAAGTGTGCAGAAATCGGGTTCCGGTCCCCGGCTCACCCCGAGGCTACGGTTTCCGCAGCGCTCCGCGCGCGCGTGGGACTTGCCAAGTTCCCAGACAACTTTTGCACTTGGTCTCGGAAGTGCCAACTTTGTGTAATTAGTCTACCCTGAGGGTTATTGTGAAACAGAAGCTAAGTTGGCCTCCTCCGGCTTTTGGACTCGGTTCTGAAAGCCTTAGAGAGATGTATAGTTTGACAGTTTTGTCCACACCTGCATATGTGAGACCCACACTTGGGTGTAATGAAAAAGGGTTTTGTTGTTGTTGTTTGTTTTTAATACGGACTCGCCGTGTAGACGACATTGGATAGGCTTCATGTAGATCAGGTTGGGTTCAAACTCACCATCCTTCTACCTCAGCCTTCTGGTGCTAAGGTTAACAACACTCCCCGCCATGCCCAACAACACTTTGATGGAATGATTATACATGCTCATAATTATCCCCCATAATCTTACACGGGAGTCAGTGAAAGGCAATGCAAACACCAAGGGAACTGAAGAAACTTTCTGTGCCCCCATGTTGACTCTTAGGAAGAAATAAAACAGTTGCACTTTTCTGAATTATAGTTTTTTCTTGTTTTGTGCCACACTTAAAGAATGTCAACCCTAAAGTTGAACACATTATTTTCATATTAGGTTTCTGTTTAAAATGAGGTTATATACGTATGAAATTGTCAAAGAAAAAGGGAAAAAGTTGACTGTCTAGAAGTATTACAGTGTCTTCCCAGCATGCACACAACCTGTATTTCATCCCAATACCACAAAATGAATGAATGAATGAATGAATGAGTGAGTGAGTGAGTGAGTGAATGAATGAGTGAGTTAATGAATGAGTGAGTGAATTAAATAATCCAAAAGGTAGATTTTGTCAAGATAAGAGTGTGGCAATACTGCCGAGTGGTGCACACCTTTAATCCCAGCTCTCTCGAGGCAGAGCCAGGTGGATCTCTGTGAGTTCGAGGCCAGCCTGGTCTACAGAGTGAGACCCAGGACAGGCACCAAAGCTACACAGTGAAACCCTGTCTCGAAAACCAACCCCCCCCCCAAAAAAAAGGGTGTGTGTGTGGCAATAAAGAGACCCTTAGCAAAATATTAGGCAGAGCTCTGGAAATCCTGCAGAAGAGGGCGAGGAAGGATTGTAGGAGCCAGAGGGGTCAAGACACCACAAGAAAACTGCCCACAGAATCAACTAACCAGCTGTTGTTTGTTTTTGCTCTTTTTTGGGGGCCCACCACCCAGCTCCCAAATAAATCGCACATGGAGTCTTATTATTACTTATGAATGCCTGGTCTTAGCTTGGCTTAGTTTCTAGCCAGCTTTCCTTATCTTAAATTATCCTGTCTACCTTTGCCTCTGGGGTTTTCCCAATCTCTTCTGTAAATCTTAACTCCTACTCTGTGGCTTGCACTGTAACTGGGTGGCTGGCCCCCAGATTCCTCCTCCTTTTCTGGCTCCTAGATCTTAGATCTCTCCTCCCAGTTTTCTCCTTCTATTCATTCTCTCTGCCTGACAGCCCCGCCTATCCTTTCTCCTGCCTTGATATTGGCCAGTTCTTTATTAGGCCATCAAGTGTTTTAGACAGGCACAGTAACACAGCTTCACAGCGTTAAACAAATGCAACATAAAAGTAACACACCTTAAAATATTCTACCACAACCAGCGCTCTCAGGGGCTCACAGAGACTCAATCACAGAGCCTGCCTGGGTCTGACCTACATCCTCTGCATATATGTTATGGTTATGTAGTTTGGTGTTCCTGTGGGACTCCCAAAAGTGGGAGCAGGGGCTGTCTCTGACTGTTTTGCCTACTTTTGGGAACTGGTTCCTCCTAGTAGGTTGCCTAGTCCAGCCTTAATATGAGTGGATGTGACTAGTTTTATTATAACTTGATATTCCATGTTTCGTTGATATCCCTGGGAGGCCTACCCTTGTCTGAAGGGAAATGAGGAGGAGTGGATCTGGGAGAGAAGGTAAGTGTGTGTATGTGGGGGGGGGGTGAGAGGAGAGGAAGGAGGAGAAACCACAGTCAGGATGTAATAAATGAGAGAAGAATAAATTTTAAAAAAAGAAGAATGTAGCAATAAACACTTTCATTGTTATTTTGACAATGCTCTAACCGGTAGTATATTATTGTTGGCCATTTTTTCTCATTAGGGAAACAGGAATAAAGCCACAGGGGGAAGGATAGCAATCCATAATTCTATTTTTCGTGTAGAGATTAGTTAGTCAGATTAAAAGAAAAGCCCTGGCTCTTAAAAAGTTGTGATATAAGAGAAAGAGCACTTTCCTAGTTTGGGCAAGGTCTGGGGTTGGATCCTCAGCCCTAATACAAACACAAACTCTCACAAAGTTGTAGTATGAGAGACGCAAAATTAACTAGGGAATAGAGGTGAAGTCATTTAAGGCCTCCGACACTATTGTGTAGCTAAACTCTAACTACCAATAATCTACCAATAGGACATGCAGAATTCATAGATGATTCCTTTGACCCAACTAGGCCAGTCAGGAGAGGGTAGTAGATCCTGGAGCAGGTGTTTGGGAGCCGTAGGACACAAGTGCTGTGAACTGAATTGGGGTCTATAACATATAAACCTAACATGAAATATGAAAATAATGTGTTTAGCTTTAGGGCTAACAGTTTTAAATGCAAGTGTGGTGCAGAACAAGAAAAAATAGGATTCGCAAATTTGCAGATGGTATATTTCTTCCTAAAAGCCAGCGTTTGGGGGGTATAGTAAGTTTCTTGAGCCTCCCTATGCTTGTATTGTCTATAACTGACTCCTTATGTTTGTAGGATGGTGGGGTCTTGTGCACAATCTAGAAACAACTTTGGCCTTTTGTCAGTGCACTTGTACAAGCAACCAGTACTGCTGGGTAAAAATGAGTGCAATATGTGATGAAAATATTTTCAAAATTGTAATTTTTAGTTTTGGAGGGTTGGTTATACTTCTAGACATTTTGTTGTCATATTGATGATAGTGTTGAAATATGCTCGTAGGTCTGATAGCCAAAGAAAGATTATAAACATAATACTACATAACATTACGTATATGTCTTGGTTCAAGCACTCCATGAAACATTCAAATGTTATTAGGTAAAAGATCAATGAATTATCAACATCCCTCTGCCTAAAAAATGCTAATGCCTCACTTCTGATGTCATTTTTACATTCATCTACGAAGAGATATAATGGAATGGCTTGAAATACATTAAAATGTTAGCATGATC